TCCTGCTGATGGCACAGGCAGATTTGGACAACCTCTTTCTCCATCTTTGGCACAGGACTGTTTTCTGTACAATCATAGCTATTCCCTCGGGATGAATTCCTAGAAATGGAATTACTGGAAACTCACGTTTCAAAGGTTCCATTGCCCCACTGTCTGGCAGCACCTGAGTGCCAGTTTTATGGTCCTTCCATAGCACACAGTGATTCTCCACATTTTCCAGATCTCAGCTGCTGATCTCCAGTAAGAACAGGCCATCGTTTTCAGGCCCAACATAGTCTAAACCCACCCTAAGAAAACAAACAGCTCTCTAGAGCTTGCATGACCCACTTGCATGATCACAAGAATCAACTGGAGGGCTTGTTAAAAGTCTTAGACTCCCAGACCTTCCCTGAGAGCTTAAGAATGGGATGTTCCAGGAGGGAAGTGGGAATCTATATTACTTTAAACAAGCATCCTAGATCAATCTTATGATCAGTCAAGTTTGAGAAACGCTGCTCTAAGGGAAACGTTCTGAGAAGATGCGACTCCTAGGACATCTTTAGAATCACACTTGGCCTTTAGCTCGTGGGGAACATGGGGGTGGCCAGCAGAGAAGAAACATGACACAGACCCTACCCTCCAGGGGACCCTCCGAGTGATGGAGAGGCCCCAGGAGACATTCAATCTCTCTGTGCTGCAGTCTTCCCCTGTGTAAGTGGGGGTGGGAACAAGGCACTCCTTGTGGTGGAGGCGCTTCTGTTGAATGAGATGAAACACACGAAACACACAGCACACGTGCGGTAAATATCAGCTCTTCCTGAGTAGGTGGTGCCACCGTCCGTGGAGCTGTTGCCAGCAGACAGGGAAGGTGGCCAAGGCTGGCTGGGGTCCCCAGTGTGAGCGATGTGGGAAGCACTGTGAACAGGAGGGGGTGATTTCTGAGGACCTGATGGAGGACAGGTAAGCAGGCTGTGGCCAGAGGTCTCAGAGGTGAGAGAGTGCAGGCTGTGGAGCAGGGGATGCTGAGGTGTGGTGGCTGGACCCCTAGAGGCTGAAGGTCTGCCATTCCCACTGGCTGTGGAGCACTTCCTGTGTTTGGGGCCACTTCCACCGTATGAATCCTTGCCTCCATTCACAGAAGCCAGATGAGGCCTTCCCAGCCTCTCTTACGGCTGGGGTGCAGGCATTCTGCCAGTCAGATGCCCCCATGCTGGGCTTTGTATCCAAAGCAGGCACCAAGAGGCATCCATCTG